CTAGTTGTAACATGCATGCGAGTGAGTGTGTGTACATTGGTCAACATGATCACATAATGGCTATCAACAAAATATTGAGGAAGCCACCTTCTTAGAACATAATATATCTTCAAGCATAAACCACACAACACACAATAGCATAGAAGACAAGCCAACTTCATATTACACTAAAGAGACCTAACTTGTGTTATTCATGCATTCACATAGGCTTACATATATAAGGGATTATTTAACCATTTTTACTCATTAATGGATGAACCTTTACTCCACCCTAACATGGATATATACATGCTTACACAATAGCCATACAACCTAAATCACAACTAGAATAGGAAAGTAGGCATAAGCTTCACATAGGATCATTGTAAACACATGCTTATATATTTATCAATTTGCCTTCTTGTCCATGGTCAACAAATATATAGATTGAAAATAAAATAAACACCACAACCATAAGTGGACCATACCACACAATGACATACAAGGCTTCGTCAACTTCAATACTTACGTAAAGTAGAAGACATCAGCATTCTTACCAATTTCTCATTCTTTGATCATCATTGATCAATATACCTTGTTCATAAACAATTCATATATAGGTCAGTATCTGAATGTACTTTAATCATAGAATAAACCATGTACAAGTCGCTACAAGATCATACTATAACATAATACAAGGAATCTCACATGTACTAGGAAGTAGAAGAACATAGATCTTTAATTCAATTCACTTGCATTGATCATAAATTATATTTCATTTATGGCATAAGTATAGGGCGGTAGCTAATCATACACTTAATCATAAAAAAATCATGCTTAAAGCACTTCAAGATCAAGCTACAACATAGGCATTAGACTTGTCAATTTGCTAGAGGATAGAAGACTTTACCAATACTAATACTATGAACTCTCTAAGGATTTTATAAACATTCATATTTTATAAACAATACACTCATTATGCAGTAGCCAATTATATAAGAAATCAAGACGAAATCATGCTTCATCTAACCACAATTTAAGATCCATCACACACTTGGGTTTTTGAATTCATAGCCTAAAGGAATATACATCAATTCATGCAAGCCTTTCTTAATTTGATCATTAAGGATTTACACCAAAAAAATCATCCATTATATCACCCTAAAATAGTAGCCATAGCAGTTCATACATAATAAAAACTATATCCAACCGATCTCACAATCGACTTCAAGGTAAAATGTATAAACATAGGCTATTCATGTTCAAATCTTCATAAATTGATCCTCATGGATCCTTCAAGATCAATTCAACATAAATTCATGTAAATAACATCATATAGAATCACTTCAATGTAATAGAATCATAATTCAATCGATGGAAATTCAATATCACAAATCCCATGCAAGGCTAAATCGCTTTTGTGATGGAGCATGGGTTCATCATGCAACTGGATTGAAAACCAATTCCAAATCAGTAGAAAATCATCAATACATTCATATTATTCCTTTGAAATCACTTTAAGAAAGAACTCATGGCAGATTGAAGAAGAAAGTGTTTGATCATATTTTTCTCTTATGAAATCTTTGATAATGGCTCTCTAGATGAAAAGATAACTAGAGATGAAGATAACCATACCTTTGTCTAGTTAAAAACCTCTAAAACATTATGATCCACCCTTAAAAAACCCAGCTCCAAGAAGTTCTTGAGCTTCACCAACAATGGAGGTTTGAAGGGAAAAAATTTTCGGAGGGAAAGGTTTCTTACGTGTGAGAGGGTTCTAGAATGGGGTGATCATGTTTTTGATGACTTATATACACCCAAAACTAGCTAAATAAACCTATTAGGGTCTGGTTAGGAAATAGGGAGAATTTCACATTCACCCCTTAAATGAAACAGACACAAGCTGCCAGTTGCAGGACACCTTCGACGATGGCAATGACGAGGCGTCGAGGACACGATGGGCCGTGCCTAGCCTCTGTCGCCTGACACTTGGCCAAAATTGTCTTAAGACATGTCCAAGGCATGCATCCCTCGACGGTACCTGCTCGACGGGCCATTTAGAAGTCGTACCCGGATGTTTCTAACGTGATTATAACCCTTAACAAGTTATATCCCTTAAACATAAATTTCATACAAAAAAAACACCTACAAGACGTCCAAATAGGCCAAGCACCATCATGACACACGTTGAACATCTTAAGGTCTATCTTTTGAACGCCTCAGACGTTTTTGGCGGTTTGACCTCCAAACTTATCGAAACATCATATAATACAATTAATCATAATTAAATATCATTTAAAGACTTATTAGAATCATTTAATACATATATAGGCATGTATATTCACATGAGGCACATAAGCAACTAGTCGTCGAACGTCTTGGTCGTCCCTTGACGTTCGACTTCCAAATCACTTCAATCTTTTCACATTGACTCTATATCATATAATAAGAAATTTTAGAACCTTAGAACATAATGAAACACCCATAAATAGATAGAACCACATATTAGGCATCTAGATGACTTAGTCGTAGAATGTCTTAATCGTCCCTCAACGTTCGACTTCCAATGCCTCTAACATTTTAGATACTGCCTATATACTATATTATAAGAATATTTAGGACATTAGAACTTTAAGAAAGACATGTTAGTCTCCAGACATCATAGCTCATTTTCGGGGTCTTACAGATATTCATGCCTCGCAAAAAATCATGCATCGTGAGATGATATTCATGCCTCGCAGAAAGTCATCCATTGCGAGAAGATATTCATGCGTCACAAAAAATCATGCATCACGAGAAGATATTCATGCCTCACAGAAAATCACGCATCACAAGAAGATATTCTTGTCTCGAAGAAAATCATGCATCGCGAGAAGATATTCATATATTGCGAAAAGTTATGCATCATGGAAAATTATGCATTGTGGATATTAAATCATACGTTTCAAGGGAAAATTCATGCATCGCGGAAAAATCATGCATTGCGGAGAAGAAGTCATGCATTGTAAGAGAAAAAATTTATTCATCGCAGAAGAGAAATCATGCATTGCCAAAGAATGAAATCATGCATCCCGCAAGAGAGATATTTACGCATCATAAGAAATCAAGTAAAAGGGTGTCCCTTTATTTGGTAAGCGTAAGCACCAAGAGAATTATCAAAGACGGCATTAAGACAAATATCAACACAATGCATCAGCTTTTATTTATTTTAACATCAAAGAAAGAGTACATGAAAGATTATATTGCAAACATTATACATAAGCTTTAATTGCTTTACGTCAAACCAATCCATTTGACGTAAGATATTGAAGGAGAACAACAAAGTGTCGACACGGTAAAAGACAGTACCTCCCATTTGAATTGCATTTTTATGCTAATGAGTTGTATCTTAGACTTTGTCGAAAGCATCTGGAAGGATGAATTCTCCAGAAATAAACCACAGGTGCGGACGGCATCAGAATGGATGCAGCACAACGTGGATATTTTTCTTAGCAGCAAACTGGGACATAGTACAAAGAGGAATGTCAAACTCTTAGGGCGCAAGCAGAGGAGCGACTTCCACCACAATTAAACCACACCCTTATAAAAGGCATGTGGGTTTTTCTTTGTCTCTAATCAAATTCTGTTTTGCATCCGGATTTTTTGGTATCTGTCGGAAGCAAGTTTCCAATCTGAGTGAAAGTGCACCAAGAGTTTTGGAAGTTATGTCCATGTAAGTTCTTAATTATGGGTGTGAATGCACCACATTCATGGCTAAGAGGTTACAAGTCTCCTTTTCATACTCAACTTGATTTGTCACTTGTCCAGAACCAAAGGTTATCTAGCATAGTAGATTTCCTTTTCAACTGATTGAGTCAAACTACAAACAACCTGATTCCTAAGGTATAAGGATATGAAGGCGAACTTAATTTCAAAAACTCGGCTATTCCAACTTCCGCATTTAAATCCTATTCTAAACATTTCGGTCCCTTCACAATTCGGTATCGGGATGACTTTAAAATTCTTTCAAAATCGTTCATCAAATCAAGCATGTCGAACTACAAGTGGCATGATTTCTCGTGTAGCCTGAGATATGTAGGAAATCCATTTCCAAGGTTCGGCAATAATTCTTAACGTCTGTACTAAAATCCCTTACCAGAATATGAATATGTGATCGCTCAAAATTGGCTTGGTCAACTTCATTTTCCTCTAATTTCTTGCATCAATCCAAGTAAAATGAGGGACAATTGTGAACACCTAATTTTGGACCTCCACGGTATAAATCAATCATTGAGTTTCTTAATTTCCAACGCATTGAAATAACTGACTTTATAAAATTTAAAATATTTCTTAAGTCATTTTAAAGTAGCTTTAGTCAAATTTTTTTATATAGTCTTCAAGCGATATATATTTTTATATGTGTTGTACAATTAATTCATTTTATGAAGTATTCAAAAATCATCTCAAAAAGATTTTAGTTTTACTTAATTCCTTATTAAATTAGTTTTAGTAGTTCGTAGTTTGATCCTCACTTTATAATTGAATTTATTGGTTTGTCGTGTTATAGTTTAAGTAATATGTTTGTTTTATATAATGTCATATGTAATTAGTTTATTTTATGAATATTCAAAAATCGTTTCAAAAGGATTTTGATTTTACTTAATACTTTATTAAATTGATTTTGTCAAAATTGTTAGATTACATTTTTTTTGAGTCATTAGTTATAATTACGATAACTATTTTTATCTCGTTAAAATTAAGAAACTCGTTAATTAATTCATATCGATTCGTCTCATCTATGTTTTTAGCCAAATTTGCATACCAACTTTATTTGTTCAATTTCTTAAAATTCATTTGGGCCCGATTCACAATCCACCTGACCCAAACATTGATGATATTATTTTCACAATTCCATCAACTCCAGTCAACAGCCCAACCCAATTACCTTCCATCCCAGCCTGATGACCCGGTCCAGCCCACACCCTTACCTTCCTTGACCCGGCCCCAATTCAATTTTTCCAGCAAAACAAAATTGACCCAGTCTCTTTTGTTTTGTCTATTGAATTCCCTTTGCCAAGAAAGACGCATTACTGAACTTCACAGCGCTTTCCAACGGCACGCTTGAACGACATCACCCGACTGGTACGCCCCTCCACTCTCCTCACGCAGCAGTAACATTCAGAAACGAAAATACACAACATCAAAAATACACGGAGAAGCAGGATCGTACACAGTGTTCTTCGTCTTTTTCTTTGGTTGTCCTCTCCTGTAGTACCTTTCAGCAGCAAAAGGCACCTGCAATTCCGTCCTTGTGGATATTGGATTGAGCCACGTCTTACCCCAAGGACGATAGGATTGATCGGAACCATCTGCTTCCCTTTAAACTTTTGGATTTTTGGTCGATGCTTGGGGAAAAATCGAGAAAGCAGCAGCTCTTTTTTGCCCGTTCTGGTGGAATTTTGAATTTTTGGGAAGAATTGAAATTCTAGTTTTACCCCTTTCCCGTTCAAACTTTACTCAATTTCCCCCCCTCAACCCTAATTTATGAATATAAATACTCTCTTTGGATTTAATGTAAGGAGTGATTTGTAGGAGAGAAAATCATTGGCAGGAAATTTTCTTTTTAGCATCAAGAATAGTTTAAGCAAGTGGTGATAGTAATATATAAATTATATATTCGAAGGGGGAAGAAAAGTTTCAGTTTTTCCGAGTTTCATACTCCCTGTCGGCTCAACAGTGTTCCCCAAGATGATACGAGTTGCCGCTCAAGCCACAAATTTTCTATCCGTACTCGACTCTGTGGTGAAGTTGCTCACGAAAGCTTCAGTCTCAGAATGCTGCCTTAAAAGAAGGAAACCTCAAATCAGATTTCATATTTTTGTGTATTGGCATGTTTTGACCAATGAATTGATTAGATGTTAGTAGACTGGGTTGTTTCGACTTCGTGCTGACTTCAGATAAGTAGCATACATTTAATTTTTTTCTTATATTTATCAAGTTATCTTTCAGTTCCTTCTCTCTTGTGTCAACTCGTCTTGTTTCGTTCAGTTGATTGCTTGTTGGTGATTATGAATATGAACTGGGACTATTTGTTCTCTCTTGTATTTAGCTCGCGATATGACTTGAATATGTATGTGGATATTGGTAGGCTTACCACTCTGTTCTTATTTTGGACTTCCATAGCATTGTTGTCCTCGTCTTTTGGTTTTTTTTCTCGATCGGAAGTGGAAAAGTTTTTTTTTTGTTGTGGAGCCGACTGTGGAGAGTGTCTTTATCTGTGAATTATTTGTGATATGATTTACATAAAATGATCATTAAATGATTTAGTTTCTGATCATCCGAAAGAATACGATAGTTTTTCTATCTTGTATCATTTATTCGTTTCATCTTGCCTCTTATAAAACTGGTAGTTTTCATCCTAGTTCCTCTAAAGTTTTCACTTCAAAATTTTCTTGCTTTGCTTATGTGTTATTATTTTAGAAATTTTTTTGACTCTTTGGCAGCTGTGATTTAGTAAAAGAATTTTGCAGCTTTGTTCTTGTTGTTGTTGTTTTCCTTGTGTTTGATGCTTTCCCCTTAGGTCTCAAGTTCTTGTTCTTTCATTGTTAGAATGATTCACTGTAACAGTAGTGATTCAGCAGCGAAGCTCAAAGTCCTCTTCCATAGGTGATTTCGACTTCCCTTGACTGCATATTCTTTTTATTTTACATTATGGATAGATGAAAATCTATTATTTCGAGTTGGATAGGGCGCTTGATTATGGGTTACATTGTTTCGTTTACTCTACTGTTTTTCCTCTCGTTTCTAGTTGTTATTTTGGTTTTTGAGTGTTTCTTTCTCCCTCTCCTCTCAATCGTTTGGGATTCGATACCTCCTTCGTTGTAGTATGCTCTGTTCTAGTGGGATGTATGTCTCTCTTTAAATCTGTGTCTTGATTGAAATGTCTTAAGCAAAATATAATGTACCGGATTTTGTCTCCTGTTAGTGATACTATCGTCTCATTAGCCACCTCCTTTTATTCAACTCATTGGATTATGGTATTATTTGGATTGCTATTGCCTTTAAAATTGCTCTCTTGTTTTTTTAACTTAAACTTTTCTTTGAGTCTACGATTTTTAATTGTTTTGCTCTCCTGGAGGTTGCTACTGTGATGGTATCTCTTTGACATCTTGAGAAGCAGAATTGTCTCATATTTTAGGTGGTTCACTTGCTCCTCCGCTGCATTTCGGGAGCCGTAAAGGCTCAAAGCCTCTTTTCAAGTCAGCCAACCATTACAAAACCGACGAACAGATCTTGGAATCGAAAATTTGGAACGAGTGGAAAGTTGAAGATTTTGGGCCCACAAATTTATGCTTTGTCTTATTTTAATTTTTTATGGTGGAAAATTGTATGAAATGACAAACATCCATAACTAATTATATCATATGGTATAGTTTAATTTATTTACATTATATAATTATAGTTTATTATTTTTTGCTATATTTTAATGGGGCCCACAATCTATTATGTAACCAATTGTATAAAAAATTTATTTTCTAATTTTGTATATAATTATATCCAAAACAATTTTCTCTCTCCTTTTTACAATTAGGTTTCTCTCTCCTTTTCACATTCTAACGTCTTTTCCTACATTTAATACTCCATCTATCCGGTTTGAATTTTGAATATTTGTCCAAAATTTCAGTAATCCCTCCCGAAGTTGAAGTCCCCTCCCCAAGTTGAAGTCAATTTCGTAAGTACTCCTTAATTTTAGTTGTTTACCTCTTTTTTTTTGTTTCTAACTTATTTATCCTTAATTTTAGTTGTTTACTTCTTTTTTTTTTGTTTCTAACTTATTTAAAAATTGTATATGTGTTCTGTTTATTATTTTTTTCATATATTTTGATGAAATAGTCGATTTTTTGTTCTTGATAGATCTAAAATTGGTCAAACAATGAACGAATCATCTACATCTTTGTGGATTACCAGAGGTACTCCTTTGCGTGTCAATGTTGTTGACATTTTACCATCCTTTTCAATGGGGCTAACTCAAGAATTTGGGGTTAATGTAGGGTCTTTTGGAAAATCAAAACAAGTTATACAAGAACAAACCATGGAAGAGCTGAGATCAAAGAAAAAAAACGACCCTATGGCAGTTCAACAAGTTATAAAAAATGCCAAAGCCAGAGGTGTTAAAATTGTACATGGAACAAGAAAGAGGAAACATGTTAACATTGAATCAGAGGATAATGATTCTGAAGTTGTCGGATCTGATGAAATTCATAATCATGAGGTACTTTCTTAAAACACAAAGTTAGATACAATTTTTTGGTTAATTAGTTGTCAATATTCAAAAAGTATTAAATATAGTATTGTTTATAGTATATTCCATGTTTAGTAATTGTATATAGTATATTGCATGTTTATGTTATTTTTGGTTTTTATATATATATACAAAATAGTAACTGGACTTAGTTATTCAGATGGAAAATTTGTATATATGATTAGAATTTGTAAATTATATTAGGTATATACAAATTATTGAAGTTATTAGTTTTTGTATATTGTAGTAGTTATTTATAAGTTATTGAATATAATGGCATGTATAACTAATATATTCATGTACACATATCAATATAAATTATTTTTGTTTTTTTGTATATATATACAAAAAAGTATTTGGACTTAGTTATACAGATGGAAAATTTGAATATATGATTAGAATTTGTATATTAGTTATATACAATTATTGAAGTTAGTAGATATTAAGTTTATATACATATACAAAAAATGACATGTACATGTCTGTTTTAATAGCTGGTAGTAGGGGATTATATATTAAATGCTCATTGTTTTTATATATAAATATATACACAAAGTAATTGGATTTAGTTATATAGATGGGAAAATATCATACGTGATTATAATTTGTATATTGTAGTAGTTATATACAAATTATTGAATATAATGTCATGTTTACCTAATATATCAATGTACACATATCAATATACAAAAAAGGTAAGTTCATATATATAAACAGAAATTAATCTGTGCATGACTTATTTTTTGATTTTTTATATATATATAGGTAAGTATATATATACATAAATTAATTTGTACATGACTTATATTGTTTTTTTTTGTATATATATACTATGTTTATTTCATACACTTTTTTTTTATATTATAGGTAGTCAGATATATTTGCAAGAACCGTGAAAAAAGGACAATTCACATGCAATGTTATACGCAAATCAACACATTGAATGAGCATCAGAATAAACTGCCTCCAAATCAATATAATCGTATATGTGGATCATCGTGTTTTGCAATGTTAACAGCAATGAGACGATGTCACATGCAAGCACAATTGTTTAGATGCATTATGTTGAGGGAGTTGGAAGGTAGTTCTGTGAATGCAATACTTTTTTATATAAATGGCACAACGCTTCGATTCACAATACGGGAATTTGCCATTATTTCTGGTTTGAATTGTTCTGATAATGCTGCTGACTTCTACTTTGATACTGATCAACCCAATAGAATCATCGATGAGTATTTTTCAGGAAATTCTCCTGTCACTAAAGCTCGTTTGGCTGAAGCTTTTAAAGCAAAGGTATGGGGTGACAATCAGGAAAATGCATACAAGTTTGGGATTCTATATTATATACATGAGTTTATCATGTCCGCAGAACCTACTACAACAACAATAGATAGGTTGGACTTTGATCTGGTTGAAACAGGTAGATTTATGGATTATCCGTGGGGTTGGAAGGCTTCTAATGAACTTGCTAAATCCATAAACAATAAGATAAAGCCATGTGGACAGTACTACAGAATTCAGGGTTTTCCACTTCCAATGCAAGTTTGGTTCTATGAATGTTGCTCGTATATTGATGACAAGATTGCTGTCAAGGTTTCTAGTCACATTCCTCGGATTATCAATTGGGTGACTAAGAACGACCATCTTCGGTTTGATTATTTCATGAAAACAATTTTTAATGATGCAGATAATCCGGTAGGCATTTACTTAATACAATTTTAAATTATTGATGTTAGTATACATTTACTTACTACAAATCGTATATAACATTTTTATTATATTGATTTATAATTTTTCATTATTATGCAGATTAAGTTCAGAAATATTGAGCCAACAGCGATGGAAATTAAAATCCTCAAACTTCCACCATCGACAGAACAATCAATTTCTCAGGGCCTGCAGAATGATCACAATAAAGTTACAGATCCGGATGATGATTTCCAAAACCCGCCCAGCATAACAAGCAGAAAAGGAAAAGAAAAAGTTATTGAATGTTCTTCACCGATTAGGAAAAAGAAAAAGCAATCTGTTACAGTCATCTCCATCAACAAATCCTCAACAAAGGCAATTAAGACATACACACGAAGATCAATGGCGCGCAAAGCCACACCTTCACAGTCCATCAATATCAACAGTGTTGCGAAACACAGTGATGCAGGTACGTCACACAACAATGAACATGTAGAGCAGAAAAGTGTACAAGAAAGAACACAAATGGGGCAAATTAAGAAGTCAACAAGCATTACAATTTCGCGTGATGAATTTAAAGCATTCAAAAAATCGGTAATTAAATATACAATTCAAATATACGTTATTTGAAAAGATTATATACAATTATTAATTAAAATATGCACCTTTTTCACATAGGTCAAGGACGAGTTCGCTGATTTGAGAAAAATGCTTGAAGACAAATTCAAAACAGTGTTGGAAGCCATGAATTCAAAGGTATCACATGTATAAATTTTTTGTTTTAATTTTTTATATACAATATACTTTATACTAATGAATACAGTTGTATAATTATTTTTTCAGGTTAATGTCGTCGATGATGATCAACAATCACCCATCGGAGGTATTCATCACCAGCCCACATACACTCCACATGAACCTCAAAGTCAATCTGCAAATTTGACTGAACAAGAGGTATTATTTTGCAATATTTATACATTAATTCAGTTTATACTCATATTGAAATGAAATAAATTTTATATAAGTAATTTTATTTCATACACATATTGAAATTAAATAATTAAGAAGTATATAATAGTATAGCTCTAATTATAAATCATCATATTACTGATTTTTATACTGAATATACTACAACATATTTTCTTATATTGTTTTGATTATTTTCATGCTACATTTGAAGATGTCATGCAAGAAACGCATATCACTCGTGTTCATCAGTTAAATACCAAGTCTTCACAGTTAGGTGCACAAAAAAACCCGATAGGTCATCCAAGTGCATTAAAAGATCGTGAGGTATCCGTAAATGATTATATACATTTTAAAATTTATTATAATGGCTTATAATCAATTTGTTGGATATTTAAGTTATTATTTTCTGTTTAAGTTGGGAGATAACTTGCATGAACTAAAGCAGAATTCACCACTGTTGGATCAAGTTGTTTTGGGTGATAATTTGAATGATGTAAGTGGCACTGCCTCACAAGATCAATTAGTGTTGTATGCTAATGTGGATGCCCAGCAAAATGCCCAAAGGGAAACTGAAAGTAGCTCAAACAGTCGGGTAATATATAACATATACAATGCTGCATCTCACGAGCGTATTGTAGAAGCAGAGGAGTCTATTATAGTTGCAGCGCCTATACAAATGGTATACATGCCTGATTCGAACCAGGAAACAGTTGTAACTTAATCACAGGATGAATGCCAAACCATCTTCTTCCAAGCGTGAACACATTGCAAAACATTGTATTACAAAAACAAGTTGAAGCTGAAGTAACACCCACGCCAGCTGTTAGGCATAGACGCCCAGGTCCATTCAACATATCTCCGTACATGACTTCGTTTGGGTCAGATGCTGGTAAGCAACAATTTTTTATGTTTACATTTTCATAAATAATCATATTGTTTGCATGATGTAAATATTTATATACATATCTTTTCAGGTAGTCCGTCCCGACAACCAGTTGTGTTTTACATGAAACATCCTTTTGTTTCATTGTCTGATAAGGAAGAGTCTGATTTGTTTTCAAATTTTTGGATATGGCTGAAAGAAGACTTACTCGTCAAACATTACAAAAAGTAACATATATTTTTTTTTGTATACACTTGCATTTTTAATTATTTGTTTTGTGTAGTTATTTTGTATTATGTATAATAGGAACTATGCGGAGGATCGCTACAAGAAAGGAAAGGCAACATTATCACAATTGTTTAATTTTTATGTAGCGACAATTGACAACAAGAATTGGTTCTACAATATCGGGTTTGAGCGCCAGTTGATTGATAACTTGGTATGTTTCTGTTTTTATATTATTAAAAATGTTTAAATTAAATGAAATTTTATAATGTATAAATTATAACATTGTTACTCATTATATCACAGCACATAGATGTCTTATTCTACTATATAAGGAAAAAGGCCAAATACTCCAACAGTAGCACATACAAATTCACAAATCTATGTTGCAATTTCAACTCTGTTCTTCTAAATGCTTGGAATGCATATTATGGAATAAAAGGTGACCTTTCTAAGGAAGTCTTAGACGAGATGATTATTGATTATATTAATGGATACAAGATGCTAGCGTATACATCATGGCACACAATCGATGATGTATTCATCCCGGTTAACTTAGAAGGCATGTTACATTGGATTCTGATTGTCATATCTTTCAATGATCGATGCATCAAGGTGTATGACTCAATCAACAATTCTCTTCATCACTCGTTTGTTGTCAATCACATCAAGAAGTATGCATAGCTTATACCAATGTATCTTGTAAAGTCTGATTTCTATCTGAAGAAAGGTCTAGATATTGCAAGCCACCATCGATATCAAGGTCATACCGTATATGATTCATTCAAAATTGTATACGTGGAAGACCTTCCCCAACAACCAGCTGCTAGTTTGTAAGTTCAAAAATTCAATAAATTTATATTATATTGAACATAGTTACACTTTAAGTAGTATAATAACATTTGAACTTTTTTTTCGTATATTTTTTTTAGGGACTGTGGAGTGTATGTTGCGTCATACGCGGAGTTTTTGAGTGAGAGGAAAGACATTCCAGCAGATTTAGACCCAGAAGAAATTCGCCTTAGATACGGTGCACTGTTGTGTAATTACGGCAATCAAAAGATACAAGCCGGAGCTGTCAATGATAGTGAAGCGCCTTTAAAACCCGTCAGGAATCGCACAGAAAACAACAGTTCTGAAAGGATTACAATCCTTTAGTTTTATACCTTAGTTGTAGCATTGTTTTGGTTTTTAGTTGACAGTTTAAATATTAGTTGAAGATTCTTAACAATTTTACCATAACTTTTGTTTTAATTAACTCGTAATATCATTGTCCTTGTTTTGAACTATCATTTTAGTGTTAAATATATGACACTATCTTTTTGTGTTATTTGGTATAAGGTATTATATAAATAAATATATAGATATATAAAATTTAATTGTATAAAAACTACTTTTAAAATAAAGTGTCTTACATATATATATATATATATATATATATATATATACACACACACACACACAGTTTTCTATTCAAATTAATGCAATTAATATATTTTAGACTAATAATGTTTTATATCTTTTTTATAAGATCTTGTTCTCCACTGTTGAACAATTTATCATGTTGAGTACAAATATACAAATTTCATTTACGAATTGTTATAACAAAGATATATGTTGTTCACTTTATTAATGGTATATATTTTATAGTCACACTATTTTCATTGTATAAGGTATATACTGTATATTAGTGTTATGTTGTATAACGCATTATACAAATAAATACATACATATACATTTTAATTGAATATATATATATATATATATATATATATATATATATATATATATATATATACACACACACAAATTGCATTTACAAAATTGTATAACAAATGATATATTTTGTTCAGTTTTTTATTTGTATATAGTATACACTAGCACGTATACTATGTATTTTATTGTATATGCACATACAATTAGATTGCAATAAATATACATATATAATCTTATTGAATAAATATATACATGTACAAATTGCATTTACGAATTTGTATAACAAAAGATATATATTGTTCATGTTTTAAATTGTATATATGAATATACTAGCACTTATTCAATGTTTTTATTAATTGTATATGCATATCAATATATGTTGTTCATGTTTTATTTGTATATAAGATAAAAGAGTTTTATTTTTATAATCTCTACTTGTTTAGTGTTGAATATTTTATCATGTTGCGTATATATATATACAAATTTAATTTACGCATTTGTATAACAACTATATATGTTGTTCAAATTAATTATTGTATATAGTATATGCTAAAAATTAATGAGTATACTATTTACTTTTGTATGTCATACAACACACACATTAATGTACAACACATAACCAAATTAAGACGTAGTTTAAGTAATATGTATACAAAACAAAGATTTCAATTAATTCATAATGCATATAGTTTCAATTCAAATTTAATTAGGAAAAAACAATAAGCCTTAAACATCTTTTGGCTTATTTCTACACGAACGCCTATTGTGACCTGGCATTCCACATGTGCTACATGTATTTTTCCCCTTAATCCTCGATAACTCTCTTGCTGTTTTTTTCCTAGGCTTACCCTTTGGCCTGCCAGGAGGTCGTTTAAATTTTGGAGGTAATACGTCATCAGCAATAACGCTATCCGGAATCAACCACGCTTTTACATCCGGCAAAGGATGTATAAGCATATTATATGTCTTCAACATTGTCATTGGTTTGTATAAATCTGAGCAATATTCATCTGGTGGTAGACTCTTCCATTTCAATACCGCCCAAGCATGTTCACAAGGTATTTCTTCGTACTGAAATCTTCCACATGTGCAAGTTTTTTCTTTTAGACAGACTACAAAATATCTCCCATCATCATTAACATTGTGCACATATTCCGTTGACGGTACAACCTGCTCATTTATAAATACAATTAAATGAAATGATGTTCATACTTATATAAAATATACTATTAAATTTGTTCAACACTCCTAAATATATACTTATTCTTAAATATTACCGTCATTCTTGTGCTCAACGCTTCATTGTCTAATAGTATGTCATGGTATTTTCCAATCAATGATGTGAATGTGCAGGTTGCTTCCTTCTTGTAGTCATGATTCCACCTTCCAAATAATAGCCTTACCTCTTCGAGAAATTCAAAAATAGGCAGTTCTCTCGCTGAAACAAGTGCTGCATTTATACTCTCAGCAATATTTGATGTCATGTGCCATCCTCTATGTACTTGTGCATAACAAAGAGCCCATTTTTCATATCCAGCAAAATCCAAATACTCTTTCACTCTTATATCTTCTTTTTCTACAGTATCTATTAACATATCAAATTCATTCTTTGTGCAAGTTTTTGCCATTGTATAGAATACACCAGGTAACTTCTGATGAGATTTTCTAAATTTTTTCTGAACATTATTCCATAAATGCCACATACAAGCATAGTGTGGGACATTACTGTATACATTTGTAACAGCCTTTATAATGCTCTCATTTCTATCAGACACAACACACATGTTACTCCTCTCACCGTATGCTTCTTTAAGTTGCTAAAAAAACCAAGTCCACGCAGCATCATTTTCTGAATCAATAATACCATACGCAAGTGCAAATATATGTTCTAAAATAATATCAAAATCATATATTAAATGTACATATACAACATATTCAAGTATATACATATACATTATTACATATATAATACCTGCGCCATCTGTCGTGCTTGCTGCAACAAATGTCCCATTATATGGACCTCTCAGATGACTACCATCCACCACGACTACTGGTCTACAATGATTGAATCCTTGGATAAATGTATTCAATGCAACAAATAGATACAAGAACTCATTATTCGTACTCTTTTTCATATGTATATGAGACCCCAGGTAAGTGATATCCATCATATACAAATACGCAGGTAACTTTGCATATGATGCAGCTGGTGTACCCCTCAAAGCTTTCAATGCTTTCTCCCTGGCCCTCCAAACCAACATATAGTTAACATCAACTCCTAGATCAATCTTAACATCTTTTCTTATATCAGCTGGTGTATATTTACGTTTATGATCTACAAATTTAGGTTTCACAATCCCTCCTGTTAAATTGCTAGTTACATGTCTTTGCGAATAAACTCTATCTTTTAAAGGACATATATGCTTTCGGTTGAATGCTCGAATTTTGAACATTCAAGATTTGTTGATATTAGAGGCCTTCATTAACCATTCACATCCTTTAGAATAACATTCCACAGTGTAACTGCATTTGATTTTTAATATAGTATACAAATTTAGTTTACAATAGGCGATACAAACATTTATACAGTTTAAAAGTAATTATTTTTAAAGTCACAGTACCTTATTGAGTTTGACCGAGTAGTTTTATACTTAAATCTCTCTTTAATCGCATATCTTTCCATGACTGCTTTCAAAATTGATTTGTCCTTGTATACTTGATCAACCTCAACATGCTTATTAGATTCGTCTGAAATCACCCAAGTTGTATCAATCGATACAAACGCAACATTTGTATCCTCCGGTTCAACAACAATCATATCATGACAATTATTTTCTCCAACAGTTGCCAACACCCCCAACTCTTTACACTGAGAAATCTGTCTATCACATGAATCCAAAATAGTTATACAAATAGGAAATTTGTTAAAATCAGTGTTGGCCTTTTTTAGCATTACGTACACTCTGACACCCATGTCATTTTGTATGACCATTCGTTTATTGCTTTATTCAACCTTGTACTCAATCTTCAAAGTCTTATTATTTATATTAACACCAATCTGTTTGGCAATAGTAGTATAAAAATCAAGAAACGTTGACTGTTCCTTAAAAACTACTCCCTCTATAGTATAATCAACGTAACTATTTGTATCGTCCCATTTTCCAGAATGCATAACCAAGATAGCTAATGAGCCCATTATCTGTACATTTATGACAAGAACATATATATATATTTCAAATAATTCAAATAGATCATACATACAATTAATACAACAATATTTATACAATCAAATTATAGAAATTATATACTATTATTCTTTTTAATATACAAACACTACATCTACAACAGTATATAAATCTATCCAAAAAAAAACACATGTTTTTTGAATATATACAATTATGACCACTTATATCTTTTCGATTACGAAATATACAAATTATGTGAATAACATATACAATTACATGAACAATATATAATTGTATATTACGAAGATTCAGCTTAACAAAATCATATTTTGAATTTTTTTTTAAAAAAAACATCACACTAAAGAATGAACACAAATATACAATTTGACCATTGATATATCTTTTCGATTACAAAATATACAAATTATGCGAATGACATATACAATTACATGAACAATATATAATTGTATATTACGAAAATTCAGCTTAACAAAATCATATTTTGACTTTTTTTTAAAAAAAAAACACATCACACTAACGAATGAACACAAATTCAGCTTAACAAAATCATATTTTGATTTTTTTAAAAAAAGAAAACCACATCACAATAACGAAAGAAAACAAATCTCAATTTCTAAATCCAATTTAACATTGTATAGTTATTGCAATAATAAACAAGAAATTTCGTCGAAAAAAAACTTACCTGTATTCGATTGCAAAAATTGCTGAACTTCAGTTTCACAAAGAGCAAAAAAAAATATTTTCGTTTCGATTACTGTATGAATTTTTTTTTTGAATTTGAACGTTTTGCTTAAAAAAGGGGACGTTTCCCTAAAATTGTGACATTATCTTAATTTATTGTAACAATATTTAACGCTTCAGTTACAAATCACTTTTTAAAATAGAATTGTATAACTTAAAAAAATAAAAACCTTTATATACAAAATTAAAGATACCTAAAATAACTAAACTATACCCATATAGTGTAATTATGTAAACTATACCCATATAATCTTATTTAATCAAATAAGTTTGCCATATATGAAATTTATCCCCTAGAATTTTATGATAGGTAAAATGGATCTAAGGCCCCAAAACAAAAAAGGGTCCAAATACCAGTCCAGGCTGGCTGACAGAGACAGGATTTGGACCCAACTCTCTCTCTCTTGACTTATCTTACTTATTTTGTTAATTGTCATTAGTTTTAAGATTTTAAAATATATATCAAATACCCGCAAGGCGCCGTTTGTTTTGATTAAATCAAATCAATCAAGTCTAAATGGATTAAAAATAAATAAAAATTTGGAAAATTAAATAGTTCACTTAGATAGTAAATAAAATACCTCATCTTTCAAATAAACTCTATATAAATTTTATCTCAAATATTAAGTTACACATTTTAGCCAAATTTGTTAGTTGTCTGTAACGACCCGTTTAGTCGTTTTGAGCAACAGACTTCCATTCTGGAAAAACTGGCAGAAGCGACGGACCCCACGACGGAACGTCATGGGCACGATGGACCGTCGCGGGATCTCGTTTCAAAACACTTAGAAAATCTAAAATTGGGTACTAAAAATCGACTCTCTGAACTTTGTGACCGAATGGTAGGACGGACCGTCACAGGTGTGACGGACCGTCACACACCCTTGGTGGAAATTTGGGTCTCTGAACTCTGCGACGACCTGCAGGACGGACCGTCGCAGGCACGACGGCCCGTCACAGGTTGCGCAAATCCCAGGCAGAGTCGGATTTCTAGTTAAGTTTTAAGGGACGTTTTTGACTATTCTTGCCTTAATTATAAAGTTCGTGGGTTTATATTAATAACTCAAATTCGTGAGGGGTTAAAAGAGGTAACCCTAAGTTAATTAGTGGGGTATTATTGCCATCTTTTATTCTTAATTATATACTAATTAGGGTAAAAGAAAGAGGGTTTGAATAAAGAAAATAGAAAGAACAAGAGAGAGAAAGAGAATCGAACGAGAAGGGAGAAACAAAGCTTTGAAAAAATTCTTGCTTGATTCAACTCTTCGGTGAAGGTAGGTTATGGTTTCTCTTACGATATTCGTAGTAAACTCTTAATAGAGAATGATATGTATTGATAATATTGTAAACCCTGCTATGTGCTTAATTGTATGCTTGCATGAATGTAATTATATGATTGTGATTATATAAGCATGATGAAGTTATTGAATCCCAAATCTTGCAAAATCTTAATCTCCTTGTTAATAATGAGGCCTTGGTATAAAAGAAGGCGTGATGAACTAAAATAATGGGATTGATGATGCCTTGGTAAGAAAGAAGGCTTGATGAATTGATGGCAGGAGATTAGGGGATCGGGTGTCACGAATCGACACGTAGAATTAGGGGATCGGGTGTCACGAATCGACACGTAGAATTA